CTGAAAAACGCCGGATTCATGGGTCCTGGAGGGCCTCCTGGTCCGTGCATGGGCATCCCTGGACCCGGTCCGCCAGGGCCACCGGGGCCAGGCCCAACGGGCATCATGCCTGGACCAGGACCAGAACCTGGAGGTCCCTGAGGGCCATTCGGCATGCCATGACCTGGCATGCCCGGACCACCGGGTCCAGGTCCCCCGGGACCTCCGGGTCCTGATCCAGGTCCACCTGGCCCAACGGGACCCGGTCCTGGCCCGCTCGACCCTCCCGGGCCATGGAAGAAGCCACCAGGTCCTCCCGGTGGCCCGTGGCCCGGGTGCGAGCCGAGTCCTACAGGTCCACCCTGAGGGCCATGGGGCATGCCCCCTGGCCCCACGGGGGCGGTGTCCCCGCCGAGGGGACCCTGAGGACCTACGGCGCCGGGCATCATGTGCGGGGGTGGGGGCAGGCCGTCATGGTCCCCTGGGGCCCCCAACCCCGTGGTGACGGGCTGCTTGCGACGACCCGTCTTGATGGGCATATAGCGATGTGTTCAGCCTTCTGTGGCCACCATAAAGTGCGGCCCGGGCCACTCAGCACTGTCACCACTACACCATGTGGCCGCCGCCACTCACACACCGACACTGGCACCTGTCACAGGGGGCGGTGCCCCTCCTACCTCCAACACCTTCTCCACCTCATCCACCACGGGCACTCTGGTAGGGCGGGAGGGCGGGGGTGGCGGGGTGCGCGCGTGCCATCAACGCTCCGCACGTGAAGACACAGCAGCAGCTCGGGCGGAGGCAGCAACACTGCTCGTACAGAACACACAGGGGCGGGCTGGAGCAGCAGAGGCGGTGGCAGTGAGTGGCGGGTCCCGGGCTGACTGTAGCTGGCTGCTGCTAGAGGTGGCTCTCTCCCGCGCCTCTCTCCCGCGCACACCTCGCCTCTCTCTGCCTCCCTCTCTCTCTCTCCGTCTCTCCCTCTCTCACTCACTCTCACCGTGCTGCCGCGCGCCTCCTAGCCTCTCCCGGGGTGCCGTGTAATCCTCACACACGTCAATCAATGAATCTTGAGCGCAGAGGACGACATGCACACAGTTCACAGACAGGGTAAAGCGGCGCACGACCCACGCGGCGGACCATCGCACACAACAGCGCACACACACGCCGCCCAGCCCCCGCTGCTGCGTGTTTCGGGGGTGAGGGGGGTAGAAACGTTGCTGCGTGCCGTGCGTCGCCACCCTTGCCCGCACTACGCCCCACGCCCTCACACTGCACCCACGCCCACACATGCACGCACCCACGAGTCTACCAAACCTGCTCGGCCAAATTCAACGAGGAATTCGCCCTGAACACCGCCAATACACGCTCGGCAAAAAGCACTAACAGGTAACCCTGCGACGGAGGGAGTGTGAGTAGGGTGGCCCGGAGGGGAGGGAGGGGGCGGCGGGGGGACGGGGCAGAAGGTCTGGGAAGGGAGAGGGGGAGGGGCAGCGCTGTGGGTCTGGGTGACCTCCTCCACCCCCTCCCACTAGCGTACCCCTCCCCCTCACTCTCCCACTGCCCTGCCCAACACAGCACAGGTAACACTACCACACCGCCACACCGTCTCGCATACCATCACAACACCCACCGCCCCATCCTCTCCCCCTTTCTCCAACTGCCTTATCTCGAGCATCCGTCCGCCGTCCGTCCTTGCTGCGGACGGGGCACCACGACGGCCCGCCACAGCCAGAGCACGCGAGCAGCAGGGCGAGCGGGCAGCCAGTGGGCGGGCACTCAAGAGGTGGGCCTCGAGGGAGAAGGACGAGTATTCCAGGGGGACCTCAGGAGGGAGATCGGGGAGAAGGGGAGGGGCGAGTGCGGGAGGCTCAGCCCCCGCCTCCTCTCACAGGGAGACATCCAGCGAACGGACCACAGCGGACGCGCTTCTGCCGTGGGAAAAAGCCTCTTGTCCGCGGGGCTAGTTCGGACAGATCTTTCGGGAACCAGCGTCATCGTGCTCATTCGCACACTAAGGGGAAAAGAACAAACAGCGAAGAGAAGGAACAACACATTGAAAATCGACCCCATGAAATGACTCCTAATAAAAAATATAAAAAAACTTGGGTCGTGCTAGGCAATGAGAACACCATCGAGGACCATATATCATGACCGAAATTCTGCCGTCTTTGCGCAAAGGGAGCCTTCGCCCAGCCGCCTCCGCCGCCGCAATCACTTTCCGCCTCCCCTTCCAGCATTTGAACCTGGCCCGTACACCGCCGCTCCCTCAACCCCCTTCCTTCCCTACCTCCCCCCCAAGGTCACCATAACTGTCACCATCACCCCCGCTATACCATTCACGGACTCCAAAACCACCGCATAATGCATTCCATCGTACTATCAACCACAACCACTCCACCGCCACAACCAGAACACACCAGCAATGACCACCACTGCCCCCTCCTACCCCCCTCCTCTCCGCCTCCACCTGGGAGCCCGGGGCCAGCTGGGCATTACGGGGCAGCGCGGGTGGGGGCGGCGGGCGCGGGCCGAGCTGGCTGTGTGCGGGGGAGAGGCAGCGGAGAGGACCAGGGAGGTGGCAGATGCATATAGACTTTCATTCACATACACACACAAATATATGTGTGTGTGTGTGTGTGTGTGTGTGTGTGTGTGTGTGTGTGTGTGTGTGTGTGTGTGTGTGTGTGCGCGCGCATGAGAGAGAGAGAGAGAGAGATACACAGATACACAGATACACAGATACACACATACATACACACACACACACACACACACATATATATATATATATATATATATATATATATATATATATATATATATATATACATATATATATATATATATATATATATATATAGACATATATATATATATATATATATATATATATATATATATATATATATATATATATATATATATATAGACATATATATATATATATATATATATATATATATATATATATATATATATATATATATATATATATATATATATATGAGATCACACATATACGTACTGTACATAGATAGATAGATAAATTGATAGAGAGGAAAAGAGAGGAAAAGAAAGAAAGAAAGAAAGAAAGAAAGAAAGAAAGAAAGAAAGAGAGAAGAGAGAAGAGAGAGAGAGAGAAGGGATAAGCAAAGGGGCTCCCACTCCCTTTTCCGCCGAGTACCTTTCTCCAGCACACGGATTCCTCGCTCATTCCTAAATGCTTCATCCATCACGGGAATCATTGCCATCTACCGCATCAAAGTCTGTCTGGCTGCCGGTCTTCTGTCTGCCCGTCCAGCCGCATACCATCCTATTACCACTTTAATACCGGACAGAATCACTATCCTATCGAGATACACACACGTACACACACACGTACACACACACGTACACACACGCGTACACAGACACACACACACATACAGTGCTGCTGCTCATGAGCATTTATTATTTTAAAATATGATTTGAATAAAAATAATACGATAAAAAGGGTGATATAAATGGAGGGGGAGAGGAGGAAGAAAATGAAAAGGGAGAAGACCGGGAAGAGGAATGGGAAGCAAGGAAAGGAGGAAGATAGGGAGAGGGAGAAAATTAATGAATGAATGGATGAATGGGAGAGAGAGAGAGGAGAGAGAGAGAGAGAGAGAGAGAGAGAGAGAGAGAGAGAGAGAGAGAGAGAGAGAGAGAGAGAGAGAGAGAGAGAGAGAGAGAGAGTGGAGCAGGGGATGCAACAAGCGACGGAGAAGGGAAGGAAAGGGGGGCGCAGGACAGACAAAGAATGTTGTGGCGCAAAATGAACGGATATAATGAACACGAAGAGCAAGAAAGTGAAAAGCGTTCACACAATATGAACAAAATGAAGTCGAAGACACTGGCGCGACGAACAAGCGAAAAGACAAGGGAACGAAACGAGGGGAAAGAAAGAAGGGGGGGACGCGAAAGAAAAAGGGGGGGGGAGACGCCATGCCAAAGGGGTGACGTGTTTACGAACAAAGGGAGATTAACAGGAGGGCAAAAGGAGAAAGGGAGGAAGAATGCGATGAACAAATGGAAGGAAAAGGGATGAAGAGATAAACATGGGGAGAAAAGGAGAGAGGAGGCGAGGGCCAGACGAGGGGAGAGGGGGAGTGCCCTCTTTTTAAGTGGCCATCACTGCCTTGATAGAACGATGAAAACATTCCTTCACTGTAGCGTTGTCATGGAGGTGAAAGGTGGTGGCGGCGAAGGAAGATATAGTAGGGGGGGGGGGAGAAAAACAGGCAAAGTACAATGAAGAGAAAGGAGAGAAGATGGGAGAAGAGAGAAAGGGGGGCGTGGAAGTCACATGAACATGCCCTGGGTGAGAATAAGACATGCGAATGACAAAATCAATTCAGAAAGCAACATTTTCGTGTGATCAACGCCACACTTATCATTTTATTTCCACCGCCATGCAAGAGGCCGTGTTTTGTACTGTTACTACCATCAAAACTATTATCAACAATATTTTAATCAATAATACTATCAATATCACTAATAATTCTATCAATATCGACATTTATCACATTTCGATCATTACCGCTTTATCAACGAACGTCAAACAAACGCTGGCTCATGAAATCCAAAGTCAAATCGATGGCAATGATTAATAAAACGACCAACCTTTAAACAAAGAAAAAAAGGAAGATCACAAAGAAACCCCGATCACGAATGGCATACATTCATGACACTGTAGTACAGCTAAGAGACCCAACAGCTGTGCTCAGCTTTAAACCCGGTCGCTCAGACAGACGCCAACAGACAGACACAGACAGCCAGACATGGTAACAAGTCTCAGCCCGGCGACCGCCCCGCAAAAACAGACCATCGCGAATGCCAAGGAAAATGACACGTGCATTGAAGGGTGAGGTAGGGGGGGGGGGGCAGTACCAGGAGGTCTAGGTGGCACTTCACGCTGATGCCTCGGGACTTCGGTGCTCCTGTCGGCCTCTGGGGGGTCCTTTGGGGCCACATTTGGCGTCCTTTCGGGCGAGTCTTTGGTGATCCTTTGAAGCCGTCTAGAGCCTCGTGGTTTCCTCACCTGGCACCAAGCCGCCCCTTCTTACCGTCAAGGTAAGCAACCGTATTTTCTTTGTTTTACTATATTTATTTGTCTACTTATCTAAAATAGCTTTACTCCCAAATACAAACGTATAAATAAAGGCAATATAGAGACACGCGCGCATAAAGACATAAATCTCTCGTTACATCATGGGTAAAAAAAAAAAAAAATCTGGACGAATATAAACAATTCCGCGCACATATTTCACTCAATACACACGTCCACACAGACACACAAACGCAGATCTCCCTACCTTTTCGAATATGCAGAACACTCACAAAAGGACCTACGACTAACTCTCACAGAATTATAACAAAAGATGGGAATGAGGGGGGGGGGCAACACACCAGTTTGTGTGCAGCAACACAACAGCAAATCCCCCCCCCCCCACCCGCCTCCCCCCCGACTCGCGTCACCCGTAAGCACTAGTCCTCCCAGGCACCCAGCCGACCGTGACTCACCCGTCCGGCCGCCCGCCCGCCCGCTCCACTGCCGTCCTCCACACGCCCGGGGCCCCGTCTCTCGCCTGGCTGTCTATGAAATTGTAATTTCTCTAAGCTCTTCACTCTCCGTCTCCTCTCTGTGTATTTAATCTTCGCGTACTTGTAATCTCGTTCACTCACTCTTTCTCTGCCTGTTCGTCTCTCTCCAACTGCGCACAGGCATACAACACTCGTATGTGTGTCTGTTTCCATTTGTATACATACATGTATGCGCCTGTGTACTCGTACAGGCACAGGCGCAGATGAAGACATGCACACTTATGGAAGTCTGCCAACACTCATTCCTCAGACAAGCACAACGGAGACAGACAGACTCTGGTAACCTTAAGTTTTACTAACTGATCATATACACTATAAAGACTGCGAAATCGTTCTTAATATGCGATGTTGCGCGTATAAATAGCCACAAGTCGTACAATATCCGAGAAGCATCTGCACTCTCACTGATCGTCCTGTCAGGCTCGCTTCGCTATGCGGGCTCAGTTAACACCTCTGACGATGCCATAAGTCAGACGGAAGAATCTCGCTGCTTCTTAACCGATTACAACACACAGCTGATACTGTCAGAAGCAGGTTCTCTATGAGGAGGTTGGATAATAAAGCGCGAGGTAATTTACAGTATTTAGATGGTATGTAGTATCATGTTGTATGACATACTGCATTGTTTGTGGTATACAAGTGAGACTTTCTCCGATTGTATAACCCTACAGATTATCTGTTATCTTGAAGCTAATCCTACTGCGACTTTATGCTATCAAACTATCTCAAAGGAATCATGTCTAATATAGTACTGACATTCTCCCACTCTCTCCCCCTCCCTCCCTCCCTCCCTCCCTCCCTCTCTCTC